TGGTCAAAATGACAAGACAGCCCTGGACACGCATTCTTCCGTGTCTGAAAGAGATGCCTGTCGTTAGTACCACTTCGTGTTCTTGCACAGGGCTAAAATGCTGTATAAAAATTAGATATTAGAGCTGCAAAATGTGATAGTTGTTAATTAAAACTATTAGACTGTATACTGTTTTAAAGAAAAATAAACTTGCAACAATGTACATTTCCCTTCTGCCCGAAGCTTAATCATATTTCCATAAGAATATAACGGGACTGTCCGACAATTCATGGTTTCGATAAAGGAACACCATGTCGCTTGTGCCAAGAGCGGCAGCGTTATGTTTTCGGATGAATCAAGGTTTACTTTGGCATTCCATGACTGGCACAACAGAGTGTACCATGGACGGAATGAAGGTTTTCATTTTGTTACCTTTAGACAGAGGAGATACGCAATGCTTAGTACATTATATGGTGCAATGCACCAGCAGTAACAGAAGCTTATGCCAATCACTAAATCAACCAAGATCGCAAGGATTATATACATTTTATACAGTTTGGTGACAGGGCTGGTAGACTGAATATACTGTATATATGACATGTAACATATACATGATAAATAGTAGCATATAGTACTTTTTTTTACACAGAGGACTTACATCTAAATTTTCAAGGCAATTTTACAGAAAAAAGTGACTTTATAATTCACTTTCCCAGTGATTTGTACTTGGACAAGACAGTGCTACAAAAAATACAAAGTTTTCGTAGTTGACCAAATTTTTCATTTTGAAACAATTGACAAAATTTAACAGAATTTGGTCTTTGCAAAATTAAGGTTTAATAAATTGGTTTCTAGAATCAACAAAATTGGGATATTCTAAAATAGCATGATATTCATCACCGATAGAGGTATTACAGAGAGTACATACACGCTCGTGTAAGGGTACACCATTCCAACGGCCGACCTCAACTGGTAGACGGTGATTAGACGTACGGAAAAAGAAGCAATTTAATCCAGCTGTTTTGTGGTAAAATGCGTAAATAATTTTCAAATCAAATTGTGTCTTAAAGATCCAGTAATTTGTGGCCTTTGATGAATCAAACACATTTGAGAACCAAGTCTGTGCTTATTGATCCTCTAGCCTTACTCTGATAACGTATCTAAGAAATGACGATGAAACATGGTCCTGGTTATACCATATGTACAAGAAACCTGTCTCTGTGAAAATACACTCCAGACAGTTGATCCATTTATGTGGGTGATTTTGCAAGTAATGATCAGCATACATGATTTGAAAAAACGCAGCAGATAATTTGTTTTCTTTGCCAGTCATAAGTCGGGCCAAAACTTAACCATTCGTGTATATACAGATATGTACAGCGGTTTTCGTCCTAACTGACCATATATTATAATATGATGGGGTGGTTTTCTTTAAAGGTAGAAGTTTTCAAAGAAAGAGTAAATGTACATTTTCTATATTACGGTTTTCATGACCCCATATTTCACAACCATACAATAGAACTGGTACTACCATAACATCGAAAAGATGTAATTGGCATTTTAAGGATAAGTTATTTTCTCAACCCTTTCTTATTACGAAGTACATGGCTTTGGTAGCTTGTTCAACAAGAGATGTGCGTGCTGTTGTAAACCAATTTGTTTTATGAACTATTACTCCCAAATATTTATGCTCATCTACAAATTCTAGATTTGACCAACTCAATATAAATAATTGTTGAGTGTCGTGCTTAGTTTACCAATAACCATCACATTAGTTTTATCAATATTAACTATAAGTTTCCATGTGGTACAATAATTACTAAAGCTATCTAACATAAGCTGCATATCTTTATGCGTTTTGCAAACTGAGATTGTTTCATCAACGTTTAACATAAACAATATAACAATGACAACGTCTGTATATAAGTCAAGTGATGATGAATCTAATGGAATACCAGTACAACTATTTTCTGCTAAGTGGTCTTCAAGGTCATTCATGTATAAACTAAAAAGCATTGGTGACAAATTTTCCCCTTGTCTGACACCTGAGTTAGAAAGAAGTCTGACAGTTGACCACTAACTTTCACACATGGCTTAATATCTTTGTATATATTAAGAATTAAACGAAAAAGATTTCCACCTACACCATATTTTTTATCTTTTGCCATAACCCAATTCTCCATGTACAATCAAAGGCTTTTTCAAAAGTCAATAAATGTACAAAATCATTTCTGCTTTCTACATTTGAGCTTACTCATCCTACAATGTAAAGAATAAATATGATCAGTTGTAGAGTATCCTCATCTAAAAACACGCGTGAAGGTCCGGTTAGAATTGGTCTTCAGCAACCAATGCTTTTGGTGAGAGGCAACTAACGGGACCGGGTGGTCAGGTTCGCTGACTTGGATGACACATGTCATCAGTTTCTAATTGCGCAGATCGACGATCATGCTGTTGATAATTCTATCATTCTAATGGCTGATGTTTTTTCATGATGATGTTGTGAACTTTAAATATACTACCTCCAAAAAGAAACGCATAGGCGAGCACAGCAGCCAGGGTGCCTGGACTTTGCAAGATATCCGGTCAAACTGTACGGAGCAGGTTGAGAGAGATTGGACTGAGAGCCACTAGATCCGACGCCGGGCCCGTGCTACGTCGTCACCATGGCGCTCAGCGTCTCCGTCATCTAAAATTATCCGCTTGGTTTTATAGACATTTCCTTCTTCTAAACTGATCCTAAACTCTATTTGTGGACGAGTTATACATGGTTGTAAATACAACATTTTCGCAACAGATTTCTGAGTTATGCGTTTCTTTTTTAGAATAGTATACAACCAGTTCACAGGGAGGCAACATACAAACAGAAAATCAGAATAACGACAGATGAACATCGTGAGTATGAGATATGCATTGAACTATCAAACTAATGAAGGGTTTACACCTACCGAGAGCACCTGTAGAATCGCTATGTTGTGAGGGGTTCCGTACAATGTCGGACAGGAGAAGAATGTGAATAGGCGAATAGAAAATGACCAACAATAGAAAAGTCGGCAACTGGGCGTTTAGCTCCACGGAATGAGTTGTGTTGTGTAACACAATGTGGCTGGTTGAGCTCTCTGGTTACTCTTGGAAAACGACTGGCGTGGGTCTGGTTTTGTGCTTGGTTGTCGGAAGATGCGACTGAAATAGAATAATATAACGGGAGATCAACAACCCGAGCGGATCCGGCTTTGACCTTGTTTTTCCTGAGTGTCCATTAGCGGGATCGAGTTGTCATGCTCGGTGAGGTGGTCAATGCATATTGTCAACTGGGTGCATCGATGCTCATGATGTCAATCCTCGACTGTCTTAGTCTTATTTACAGACCCAGGCTCAATATATTCCATACCGCCGACATATAGCTGGACATCAATACTTTATGGCCATAGTTCAGTCAGCAGTTTCAAAAACATTGAAATCTGTCAATCACTTCACGACTTTATCGTTAAAAGCAAAAGATTTGAGCAATTTTAAATTCATGTAGAAAGGATAACTGCTCTATCGTACTTTTCCTCAAGACACAACTGTGTCAAAAATACTGACTTTATATATTCCGTTTGTGCAGTTGTACATTATGTTTGGCAATATCTTCTAAAACGTATTACCAGCTGTGTCAACTTATTACCTGGAGATGTATTTACATATATAAGCAAGTTTTGCTTTTTAACCGATGCAGATTTCTTTGAAAATAAAAATATGCTTTAACCATATAGCTGGTGTGGCGTTAAACAGCACTCAGATACACTAGCAGATGCCGGGAGACGTCAGCTGGAAAGCTTCAGTCTCAGTCGAAATGCTGGTGCTTTGAGTTTGTTTCTTAGTACGAAAGTTAGTGACAATCAGATGAGAGCTGATGCGCCCCTAGACCCCAGGCTTGGGGTTCCTAGGTGCACACTCCTTCTCGGCCTCAGGTCTCGCACCTCTCTCTCGTCTCTGAGCTCTGCTCCAGCTTAAAGCTGGGTTCCTACGTCACAGCCAACTCCCTTTTCCATTTTTCTATTGGTCAATAACCCATAACCTGACTATCTATTACTCTCCCTAACCTCTATTTCGTACCCCAAATACCATATTTGTAAGACTGTGTGGTGGATTCCAGGAATCTGTGAGTTTCTCTCCCCTAACCATATATATGACTTGTAGAATACCAAGAACCGGTAACAAGGTCCCCGGCCACGATGCTTCATCTTGAAAGTGTAGTAGTTTTCCCCTTACCTAAGCTATGCGTCACCTCACCTTGCCCCCCATCAGCTCAGTATACTTATTGACGAAATGCTTGGAATGCAACAGATGTTATTATACCAGACAGGGGAGTGCATTATTGGACATTTTGATAAATAAATAATATACAGTTTGGGTGAAAAGCCCTACGATATTCATCATGAGCATGACACTAGAAACATGGGCACATTATTAAATATTAATAACTACGTGTCAAGCAGGTATAACACGACAAAGTTGTGATTCGTAATGAACCTATCTTCAACGTCTCGCTGAAGCGCAACACAGTTAGATTCGATAAACATGCGAACCATATTATTAATATATGTGTTATGTATAAGATCTCGTGAGATAAACGAGCTTACGCGCTAATTAACGCAGATATCGCTGATGTAACTTGCGTGTGTGCGTGTGTGATAGTTTAGATTCCGCCCATGTGACCGAGACTTCCGTGTTTTCCTTCGTTAAAAGTAACGATGGCCGCCTTTCTCGTGATGTGTTAATTGCTGTAACTTTGCTTAAACTGTTAAAAAAAACGTTTTAATCATCCGTTATTGGGTTTTCTATCGTAAATATATGTTGCGTCCGCCATGTGTGTTTGCCATGCCTGGTGGAAACGACCTATGTGCAGTCTTTGCCTGGGTCAGTGTTGCGCCTGCGCAGCACACTCAGGGAACCAGGCTGACATTCACGTGGAAGGTAAGATAAACCTACATGCACAACTTTCTTCGAAGTGTCTTAAGATATAACATACCAAGTGATTTAAGTTTTAAATGACAGTTTATTACCAGAAGTTACAAAATACAAAACTATTTAAATCGGAAATGTTCATTTACCAGGGACTCGTTCCACAAAACCAAAGCAGCTCTCCTCTGTTCCAGGTCTTCGGAAAGGATGTGGACATACGAAGATGCAGCGAAGCCATCACTTTGAGTAACGGTGGCTTGGAGAGACTCTCTATTGCTAGTATATCTATTTACCTATATTTACAAAATGTACATACCATAACTCCATGTTGGAGTCGAACTTTCTTGATAGTCGTAGCTTTTGAATCATGTATTTCTTACAAAACAGTCTTGATTATCATATGGGTTGTATGACATTTTAGGGAATGTGTGAATCACGGGTATTGACAACAATGAGAGACAGTTGTTGATAATAGGGAGGCGCTCAGATGAATGATTTTACGGACGTTTCTACAATACTTCATGCATATTTGTAACGGTGTATAAAAAGCCCAAAGTGACGTAGGTCTGAGACGTTTATCGCTTTGGACGTTTGTACACCTGGGTTCACAACTGTTGGTAACGCCCGGATCCTTTCAGCAGGGGGCGCAACTCTGCTCAACTTCCGGCACCTCAGATAACTCGCCCCCCTTAGAGTGACATGAACACAGCAAGGATTACACTCAAGATGGATGCTACCAGAGAACACTGGTAAACTCGAGTTGACCCTGAAATGAGAAAATATTTTACTGAACAATGATGAGTGAGTGAGTGAGTTGGATTTTTAGTCGCTTTTAGCAATATTCCATCAATACCACGCCGGGTGACACCAGAAATGGGTTTCCCCCATATTGTACCCATACATGTGGGGAATCGAACTCCGGTCTTCGGCGTTACGAGCCAACGCTTTAACCACTAGACTGAGATAAGAGATGTATTGATGTAATGAGGTATATTTTAACTTTATCTTGCTAGGACCAGATAAACCGTTGAATCTGACTTGAACAACGATCAGTGCTATCTCTGTAAACATGCTTAACAAACCACAGAGCCTAAGGACCTGTTTTCTTAAAGTTTGTTGGGAGGAACTCAATGCTATCGGCTAACGATGGGTTCACGTCTTTAAGATAATTAGTTTGTAAACAAACTGTAGTAAGAGTGGAAGACAGGTGACAATGTGAGGAAACAGCATCTCTAACAAGAACAGGTTACTAGAAGCGTCTTAAAATATATTCTGAAAGCAGTTCGAGACATCAAGGTGCAGGGTGTTATATTGGAACAGAGAGAGAGAGAGAGAGATAAGAGAGAGAGAGAGAGAGAGAGAGAGAGAGAGAGAGAGAGAGAGAGAGAGAGAGAGAGAGAGAGAGAGAGAGAGAGAGAGAGAGAGAGAGAGAGAGAGAGAATGGTTTTCCAGCAACATCGAGCGAACGCTTTAACCATTATACTACCTCACCTCTTCAAGTCACTTTCACATTACACAAAAAAGGCAGTGCAAGTGTTTCACAGATGATGTACAGCTGATATTTATTGAATGAGCTTTGTATTTTTATGTGGCGGGTTCCGTCGTTCTTAGCGTCAATGACGTGCTGCAGTATTATTGCTTCTCTCCTGGCACATATTTCACAAAGCTCTCGTAAGCCTAAGATCTCGTAACTTCCCTCGTAACATTCCAACCTCCTATACTGTAACATTGACTTACGATAGTCGTAGCGCTACGAGAGCTTTGTGAAACGAGGCCGGGGGTCTAGATTTTCGAAGCTCTCTTAGCGCTAGATAGTCTCTTAGATAGTCGTAAGTTTATGTTAATGTATGGCACTTACGACTATTTTAGTGCTAGCAGAGCTTCGAAAATCTAGGCCCAGGTCGTCAATGACGCCTCCGTTCACTATGCAGAGTTGCGTCCCTTGGGAAAGTCATCTCCCGGTTATTGTAGGGTCGAAATCCGATTACTTTGGTTTGCTGGGTTTGAAGGTATCATAATGTACTCATGAAACCTGCATCACGTTGGAGTTTTACGCCGCACTCAGCAGTATTCCAGATATATGTCTATAAATAAAACAGTCTGGACCAGACAATCCAGTGATCAACAGTATGAGCATCGATCTACGCAATTGACATACGATGACATGTGTCAACCAAGTCAGCGAGCCTGACCACCCGATCCCGTTAGTCGCCTCTTACGACAAGCATGGGTTACTGAAGATCAATATTCTAACCCGGACAACCACATGGGCTGAACAGAAGACAAGTAACATACACATGATAAATAGTAGCATGTAGTACTTTCTTTTACACGAGGACTTACATCTAAATTTTCAAAGAAATTTTACAGAAAAAAAGTGACTTTATAATTCACTTTCCCAGTGACTTGTACTTGGACATGACAGTGTTACAAGAAATACAAAGTTGGCGAGCCTGGCCACCCGATACCGTAAGTTGCCTCTTACGTCAAGCTTGGTGTTACTGAAGATCAGTCCCAACCCGGATCTTCACGGATTGGTCTTTCCCACCTTTATGTTAGTTGTTTGGTGTTTACAACACACCTAAACATTTTTATTTATTATAGAGTATAGACCAGACAATCCAGTGACTGACATCTTGAGCATCGTTCTACGATTCTGGGATACGGTGACATGCGTCAACCAGGTATGATCACCCAATTCCATGGTCACCCCAGACCTTTCATCTTCGAAAATCTCCAGGGTATACTTTCCGATAAATCTCTACTATACCCTGGATGCATCTATGGCTCGTTGGTTTTATAGTTTTAGGCCTATTTGCGCCCGAATCTATGGCTCGAGCCGATGATTTTATTACCTCCCTTTGCTGGCTCCGCATTCTCACAGTAGGCAATCAGATAAGCCGCCGTTACAACCGAGCTTGCCAGTGTCAACAAAGATAGCGGTCGCAGTGCGATTCAGATTTGGGAGGGAAACATACAGACAAATTGACAGGTTTGAAATCTTTAAAAAATATATGCAAGTACTCCTTCTACTTCTTTCAGAGTACCTCGGCAACAATATATTATTGTGTTACCAAGTTTAATCGGTTAGATAATTTAAAAAGCGAAAGTGAGTTTTGATTGGTACGCTCAACTTCCCAGCGTAGACACATGATTGGATAAAAAGCCAACCAAGGGAGGTAATAAAATCATCGGCTCGAGCCGTAGATGCATCCAGGGTATAGTGGAGATTTATCGGAACGTATACCCTGGAGATTATCGAGGATGCGGACCTTTATGTGGTCCCACAATCATAGGATATCGGGGCACCTAAGTGAAGCAGCTAATTGTGGCGCCTTCGATTAATGGGATCTTTGCCTAAGGTCAAAGGACATATGCACCATATTCATATGTAGCTCTCAATACACTTCCAAGGAAACATCAAACCAAGTATTGATCATGTGTAATTACAATGTCATGGAACATAGGGCGTGGCGTGCTGTCTCTGAAATCAATATACTCTGTGTTGTGTACTCCGTAGTCAATGTTCCATTCTGAATCACGACAGCCTGTGAATAATCGAACATTGGTGAGGGAAAACGGCTGTATGTGGTATTTCCAACGATCAGTGCTATCCTGGTATTGGGACACAGTAGGCCTGGATACACTGCACAACCACTCGACCTTCAACCGACGAGTGGTTCAAGCGTTCGCGCAACAAGTCGAAAACCAGGGTTCCATCTCCACAAAGGTACATTATGAGAAGCCCATTACTGGTGTCCCCCGTCGTGATATTGCTGGAATATTGCTAACAATACTCACTATCACATTTTATCGGATCTCGTTCAGCAAAGCGGCCGTTCGCGCAAAGACGGCCATACTTATAATAAAATAAATAATAAAGTCTTTATTCAGTATTGGGGGCATCGTGTACACTCCCATAGTCAAAATGGAAGAGGGCCGGAGAGTATGCTTTGTTTGTTTTTTATTTATTTGTTAGTTGTTCAGAGCTGCGCTCAGCAATATTCCAGCTTTTTGGCGGCGGTCCGTAAAACAATCGAGTGTAGATCAGACAGCCCAGTGATCAACAGCATGAGCATCGATCTACGCAATTAACATACGATGACATGTGTTAACCGATTCATCGAGCCTGACCACCCGATCCCGTTAGTCGCCTCTTACCACAAGCATGGCTTGCTGAAGACCAATTCCACGGGTGCGTCAGAAGCCTGCGAGTGCCTGGGAATATGCAAAGATGATGCACCAGTATCCCTACGACATCAGCATCTCAGACCAGTGTGCGAAATAGCCACTGGCCCGCTAGCCCGTGGCTAGTAAAAATGCAGTCGGGCCAGTAAATCACCACAGTCGCTGGCCCGACTGGCTAGTGAATTTTCATGGGGTCACTTTGTAAATATATCACTCTCTCCGACTTGTTAAGTTATAACACACTTTTAAATCATGCAAGATTATGGCCTGATAAAAATGATCATCATATTAGCAGCTTAATGATGAAACCCGTGTCTACATTCAAATTTCGGACAAGTGAATTATTCTGTGGGCTGGGACTTTCAGGCATAGCTAGCCCGACTGGCTTGAAATATTTGGAAACTAAACCAATAATGGTTGTCATCCCCTTCAAATTTTTTTATTGGAGAGGGGATGTGGGGTGTGGGATGTGGGTGTGTGGGGGGTGTGGGGGTTGGGGTGTGGAGGGGGTGACAACCATTATTGGCATGAGTATATTTCGCACACTGTCTCGACGTTCTCAACGATTTCCAGATCGGCTGTTATTGTTGATAAACCTAATACTGTAACTATGGAATGGACGCCGGACTCCGTGGAAGATGTCTAGGACTAAGGATCACCTGCCACATCGACATACCCACGACAGTGAAAGGGTGGGTAGCGAAATCACAGTTTCTTTATCAACACACATACTGACCGACACCTCTGAAAGCAAATTATAGGTAACCCGTTTGACGGCAACAACCAATAAGGGCCAAGACTACCGCCCGCCGGGGATGATTCCTCCGTATATTCACCTTGGTGACATATTGGACTTTGTATTTTGATCAAAGTCGATCGCTGGCTTGTCTGACCAGCACTAATTATGTACAAATGAGTGAGTTGGGTTTGACACCACATTTAGCAATATTTCCGCAATATCACAGCGGGGACACCAGAAATGGGCTTCACACATTCTACCCATGTGGGGAATCGAACCCGGGTCTTCGCCGTGACGAGCTGACGCTTTAACCACTGGGCTAGTCCACCACCCCTAATTACGTACAAACCGGGTGCATCTTAAAACTCAACAAACAATATAAAATTATACACAACAGCTACGACTGCGCTGTCAAACTTACCGTTTGCAGCAATGTCTTTCGTCAGTTCATCCATGGTCATCTTCATCCTCTGGGCAGTGGCCGAGGTCTTGTCCTGCAACGAGTCATAGTAACCTCTGATCTTGTCCAGGGCCTTCTTCATGTCCTCCTTGTCCAGAGACGGCAGCGACTTGACGAACTGTTCATAGGCATCCTGGCTAAAGCCCTTGATCTTGTCGATGACGTTGGTGAAGGTGTCTCCAGCTGACTTGAAGGCGTTGCGGATATCTTCCAGGATGTCTCTCTTCACCAGGCGTCGTTCTGATTGGTCGACCAGCTCCTCAAATGTCGGTGTGTCTTTGCTAGACCCAATCACAACCAGGCATGAAAGAGCTAGGAGTACGAAGGCACCTTTAAGTTCCATTGTTTATTCTGAAAGGACACAGAAGGCAGAGGGACGTTATTTTGCCGGCTGAAGACAGTTTCGAACACAATGGAAAACGTACGCATGCACATTTGCTTAACTTGTGAATAAAGCACTAACTCGATCTCGTTGTAATACGCCGCTATATGTATTAAGTGTAATTAATACAATGCGGATCAAGATATACTTCCCCTCGGTTTGCAACAAACAAACCTCCCCTGGAATTTTGCAGATTTTCACTTTCAGACAAAACAGTCATCGCTCGAAATTAAGGGTACATGTTTTTTAACAGTACTTTACAGAGGTGGTTTGAATGCATGTATCTTAGATGCAGGAACAAAAGGCATTTTCAAAAGGCAAATCTCAACTCCCCCTACAGCTTGGGAGTCATGTCGCAGCGGTAAGACAACACGCGTTGATTACGAGGTTGAGGGTTATGTGTACACAAAAACCTGTGACGTCACTGATAACTGCGGTCATAATTACGATAAGTGTTTAACTAGATCATGCTTCACGGTTGACCAAAATTGTATTTAAAGTTTGAGTGCAGGGTTGTGAGATGTTCCTTGAGACTTCTTGAGAAAATAATATTTCCCAGTAAAAATCTACTATTTCGCCTTCTCTGTTGTCGTCCATTATTACGCCAAGTAGATCTGGTTTAGGATTGGTCTTCACCATCGCATCCTGGCATGATTGCCATAAGAGTGAGTGAGTCAGTTTAGTTTTACGCCGCACTCAGCAATATTCCAGCTATATGGCGGTGGTCTGTAAATAATCGAGTCTAGACCAGCCAATCCAGTGATCAACAGCATGAGCATCGATCTGCGCAATGGGGCACCGATGACATGTGTCAAACCAAGTCAGCGAGCCTGACCACCCGACCCCTTTGGTCGCCTCTTACGACAAGCATGGGTTACTGAAGGCACATTCTAACCCGGACCTTCACGGGTGATTGTCATAAGAGTCGACTAACGGGATCAGGTTGTAATGATCGCTCACTTGATTGATGCATGTCATCATAACCAAATTCCGTAGATCGATGGACATGACGTCAGTCACTGGATTGTCTGGTCCAGGCACGATTATATACAGACCGCAGTCGAATACTTGGATTATTGCGGAGCGTAAGCACACGTTACAGTATTAACCTAAATAGTTTATTGCTGGCGACCGAGTTACAACTAAAATTGCCGTCGTTCGATTATATAAATAATTTCTCACTCCGTGATTTTGCACATAGAATTGCCATGGTGACGGTGTAAAAAAAATGCCTGTTTCCCATCAATTTTTACACAGACAATGAAACAGGCCTTATCGCGGAAAGAGTTGCTTTGTAAATATACTGTTCTGATTTCTCGATGTATTTTCCATATGAATGATATCTGCACCGTTGCAGCCCTGCCTGGCATGAAAGCACAATAACCTTATTCAGTCTACAGATGACATCACTATCGATTGAAAACAGAGTCTTTGTTCCCGTCCTGTCGGCTGAACATTACACCAGAAAAATCGAGTAACCTTGACAACGGTCTTTAAACAAACAACAGAGACAATTTCTTCACTCACCTTTACGCACACTGTGTTAGATCTTGATAACAGCTGTACTACATACAAGCAAGGCCACTACTAATATCTAGTCATCACCGCCACCACACCTTACCCCTCACAACATCGTCCTCGCTAATACTGGTGTGTTTAGGCGACACCGCCTAAGAACACAGTCGAAAACGGGTTCTGTGTAAATAGGTGAGTGAATGGGCGAGAAAGTATTATTTTACGCCGCTTTTAGCAACATAAGAATATATTACGTATGGGTATTCTCACACGCTCCTTACACATTGTACCATTGTTAATAATCTTACCAGGGTTTTATTGTGACACAGTGACGCTTTAACCACTTTGCCGATGTGACGTTAAATAATAACTCACTCACTCACTTTAACCACCAGGCCACCCTGTCGCCCCTTAAAGAAGCTGAAGGATGTGCCGTATATTTGTGACACAGTCAGATCGGTTAAGACTGATTGCATCGTACCGCGTTCACAAGAATATAGTGATACCTGGAACCAATGTATCAGCGTGTAAGAGTGATGATACCGATTCCTGTCGGGCGGTGGGGTAGCCTATAGTCTGTTTGCAGTGAAAACGTACCGATGAATTTCACTTTAAACAAGAAAGTAAATCGAATAAAGTGAAATTAAGATTGCGAATCCTCATAATTTTACCTTGCCAACTGAACATTTAAACATCAGAATTTTATTAAATTTAGGATAAAAGTCGTTTAACAAACCATCATAAATTTAAATCGTTATTATTGGTTTATAATCAATACTTTTAAGTGGTTTAGCGGTCGAGTAGTTAGGCTATGTGATTTATAAGGTGTCCTGTATCCGAAACCAAACCGCCGGACAAAAGGATGGATATCCTTTAAACCTGGATTTGACCACACTATTACGAGGAACGGGGGTGTATAATAACGTTTCACATGTGCCGCCATACATGGACCGTACGTAATCTACTCTTACGTTGAGCTTTACAAACCACGTGATAATATTTCGAGGAGGTAAGTTGTACGCCGCTTTTAGCAATATTCCAGCAATATCACGGCGGGGAAATGGACTTCACACATTGTACCCATGTGGGGAATCGAACACGGATCTTCGGCGTAACGGGCGAACGCTTTAACCACTAGGCTACTTCACCGCCCCGCGGGTAGGATGTCACACAATCTTAATTACTCGATATTCACAGGTAGCGCTGGGTGGTACACCTGTAATAACAGGATCTCCTTCGGGACACAAACATGATACCTTTTCAAATACCCAGTCATTCACATTTATTTGCAGCGAGCGCGAGGATGAACCTGTATACATCACGAGTCGGTCGCCAAAACGCAACCAGATAATCACGTCGCGATTACCCCACCTGCCACAAATCAATCACAAGGTAATCTGATCAATCACTGCAGCTTGCCGTGAGCTGACATCAGGGCATCCAAGGTATGGACAGGGCGTAACACATCCCTAAGTAGATAAACAGGGCAAGGTGCTGCATGTCAACATTCAGTTGAAAACTTACGAGAGGCCATAACATGTGAGGTGAGGTGAAATTGGGTTTTACGTCGTACTTGAGAATATTTCGCTCATATGACGACGTGCATGCGCGTGTATGTGTATGTGCGGCTGCTTGTACTAGCCCAGACTTAAGCTGGTTTTATAGTGCTAGCCCACTGAGATACCATGCCGCAGTGAAGCATGAATACCCCACTCAGACACATTATACTGACTCCGAGCCGACCAGTCCTTGTTGTACCCATTAATGCCGAGCGCCAGGCAGGGACCAACAAGTACCATATTTTAACGTCTTTTGGTATGACGCGGTCGGGGATCGAACCCACGACCTTCCACTCTCCGGACGGACGCTCTAACCACTACACCACGGAGGCGGTCCCATAACATGTAATTCAGTAGGAATGACAAGTCTTTGCGGATGATCAACTTCTTTATTGCACAATAGCGATGTTTCTGTAGAGATACTTTTACCGTTTTCCAGCATGAAGTGGTGAATGGGTACAGCAGGGTATATATATAGGGTACGTGAAGGCTAACAAAGACAATGGATGATAAACCAAGATGATAAACAATGAAAACAAGCATAAATATACACGTAACACATAAAAATACACCGCTATTTAATCCCATAAGCTTTCATCCCATCAGCTTAATCCAAAACTAATTAACTCAATCTCCCTCTCTCTGGCTTCTCTAACTTATCCCCTCGCCTAATACATGTAGTTAGATAGCATAGTCGTTATCTATAGACCGCCGCCATTTTGCTGCTATACACGAGTTTCCGGCTTTAAACAGCAAACAATATATCGCTAAATAATGGGCTTACGTATAAAAACAACGAACGTGATACCATCTGTTTTGGCATGAAAGGAAGGCTGTTTGCATTGTTCATGGAAACAATGCGATAATCTGATAAAGGTGCGTTCTCACAGTACGACTTGCAACGTGAGAACACCCAAATCGTAACGATTTCAAATCGCATACAACCAGTTGTAAGTCATAGGATTTGTCCAACTTCCTACAAAAAGTCGCAGGCTCTCGACCAATGAAATCGCTTAGATCTTTGTCCACCTCAGAGTAACGTCCCTTAGTTTACGTTGACATCATGTCGGCGACACGACTGAGAGTTAGTGAGTGAATTTAGTTTTACGCCGCACTCAGCAATATTCCAGCTATATTCCGGCGGTCTGTAAATAATCGAGTCTGGACCAGACAATCCAGTGGTCAACCACATGAGCATCCATCTGCGCAATTGGGAACTGATGACATGTGTCAACCAAGTCAGCGAGCCTGACCACCCGATCCCGTTAGTCGCCTCTTACGACAAGCATGGGTTACTGAAGATCAATATTCTAACCCGGACAATCACAGGTGCACGACTGAGAGAGAAGAAACAATTAATATGTAGACTGACATTAAAGCTAGCGCTTCTTCTTCACTCGACGAATCGTACGTGAGAATCGAGCGAGATTCGAGTTGTATGCGACTTAAAAAGTACACAAATTTAAATAACAAAGTTGTTACGATCTTTGTAGTTACTACAAGACGTATGCTTCAAGTTGTTACTACGCACCTTTAAGCAAGCATATTTTTTAACACCCCAACTTCCAGTGCTTAAACAGGGTGTAATCATGATAGCTAGCATGCAGGTGAACGGATGATGAGTCAGGGAGCTTTGAACACTACTACCTCTGTTATTATGGCGGAGTGTCACCTTTCAGTAACCCAGCCATTTGTCTGGGTCAGTATGGTATGGTCGTATTGCTGTCATGTATGCATGCTTGTATAGAATTACGTAAGACGTACATAAACAGTCCCACGAACAGTAAAATTGCTAACTTAAGCTGTGAAAGCGTTTTATGGCAGACATGTGGCGGATATTTCGATATCTGACGCATCATAGACAAGGAGGATGTTCCGTGGTGTTTTAGGTGACA